AAAGGCAAAAACTTAATAATATAATTATTACCGTCACCATAAATAATATATATCTTATCACACGGGGGAGGTATTAACACTATTATATACAGTGTGGTCTTCCTCTGAAGACGCGGAGTGTTCCACGGTGCTCGACGATGCTAAACTCTTGGTCCTCTTGTGGCCTCACGACGAATCCTTCGATTCTCTTGAGTCTACCCTGGCCACAGGCCAGCCAAATCACAGTTCCACTGGGGGCACCGTCGTGGAGGCCTTCAACCACAAATCCAGCCTGTAGCTGGCAGGTTCCAATCAGCAACGCTGGTTAGGCCACTCGACGACCGATACTAGGGTAGCGAGCCCTAGTCAGGAGCCTCGTGTGATCCCACAGGTCACTCTCCTCACAACACCCCAGTGGTTAAGCGTCTCCACCAGTCAGTCCCGGGTACGACAATCCCTCAGCTGCCACGTCACAGGCAGGCTAACACCTCAGTGTTCATCCGGGGGGTGACTCACAGCTGCTGCAGCAAATACTTGGAGACAAGACGGCTGCCTTGGGTAGACTGATCCAACGTTCATTACAGCAGTCCCAGGTCGACTCTGTAATCAGACACGTCATCAGTACTAGGGACACTCTAGGGCACCCCACTTACAGGCTTAGACACAAACGCCCACCTATCCACTCCATAGATGGCGTTGCTGTCCAAGCGTCGCCTCACCAGAGGTCAGCAGCGGCTGTGTTATGAGCTGATTAGGACGGGAAACTAGCCCTTGTGGCTGGTATTTCTCGTCCCCACTAGCTGGCGTCATCCATTTGGAGGGAGTTTCGGGAGCTGACCCACAGATGGCGCGGTCGTCACTGCTCCGTGCTCGGACGCTGGGCTTGGGCCCGTAACAACTACAGGGCGCCTTAATCCACTTGACCATCACGGCCGTCAAAAAGGAAGTGATAGCCGAGGCTATTTGAGCCACTTCCCCGACGGCAACTCGGATGGTAATCTTGGGCATAGCATTTCACCAAATCACCTCATTCTTTGGGGCACACGTGAGGAACACAAATGCGAACAAGCCTGAATGGTCCCCAGGACTATATGCGAATGAAAACTCACACCCCAGAAGTGACTCGAACCCATACTCCCAGGAGCAACGCAACTGGTAACTACAGGGCGCCTTAATCCACTTGACCATCACGGCCGTCAAAAAGGAAGTGATAGCCGAGGCTATTTGAGCCACTTCCCCGACGGCAACTCGGATGGTAATCTTGGGCATAGCATTTCACCAAATCACCTCATTCTTTGGGGCACACGTGAGGAACACAAATGCGAACAAGCCTGAATGGTCCCCAGGACTATATGCGAATGAAAACTCACACCCCAGAAGTGACTCGAACCCATACTCCCAGGAGCAACGCAACTGGTAACTACAGGGCGCCTTAATCCACTTGACCATCACGGCCGTCAAAAAGGAAGTGATAGCCGAGGCTATTTGAGCCACTTCCCCGACGGCAACTCGGATGGTAATCTTGGGCATAGCATTTCACCAAATCACCTCATTCCTTTTTGACGGCCGTGATGGTCAAGTGGATTAAGGCGCCCTGTAGTTACCAGTTGCGTTGCTCCTGGGAGTATGGGTTCGAGTCACTTCTGGGGTGTGAGTTTTCATTCGCATATAGTCCTGGGGACCATTCAGGCTTGTTCGCATTTGTGTTCCTCACGTGTGCCCCAAAGAATGAGGTGATTTGGTGAAATGCTATGCCCAAGATTACCATCCGAGTTGCCGTCAGGGAAGTGGCTCAAATAGCCTCGGCTATCACTTCCTTTTTGACGGCCGTGATGGTCAAGTGGATTAAGGCGCCCTGTAGTTACCAGTTGCGTTGCTCCTGGGAGTATGGGTTCGAGTCACTTCTGGGGTGTGAGTTTTCATTCGCATATAGTCCTGGGGACCATTCAGGCTTGTTCGCATTTGTGTTCCTCACGTGTGCCCCAAAGAATGAGGTGATTTGGTGAAATGCTATGCCCAAGATTACCATCCGAGTTGCCGTCGGGGAAGTGGCTCAAATAGCCTCGGCTATCACTTCCTTTTTGACGGCCGTGATGGTCAAGTGGATTAAGGCGCCCTGTAGTTACCAGTTGCGTTGCTCCTGGGAGTATGGGTTCGAGTCACTTCTGGGGTGTGAGTTTTCATTCGCATATAGTCCTGGGGACCATTCAGGCTTGTTCGCATTTGTGTTCCTCACGTGTGCCCCAAAGAATGAGGTGATTTGGTGAAATGCTATGCCCAAGATTACCATCCGAGTTGCCGTCGGGGAAGTGGCTCAAATAGCCTCGGCTATCACTTCCTTTTTGACGGCCGTGATGGTCAAGTGGATTAAGGCGCCCTGTAGTTACCAGTTGCGTTGCTCCTGGGAGTATGGGTTCGAGTCACTTCTGGGGTGTGAGTTTTCATTCGCATATAGTCCTGGGGACCATTCAGGCTTGTTCGCATATATATATATATATATATATATATATATATATATATATATATATATATATATATATATATATATATATATATATATATATATATATATATATAAAACCTTCCACAACCTTCCCTGTCCCCCAGTCCTCCCCACTATTCTCACCTCACCCGTCTCCTCGGTCTCCCAACCATTCCCCTCTCCACCGTCTCCTCGTCCTCCCCACCATTTCCCACTCCACTATCCCCTCTTCCTTCACACCATGCCCCACTCCCATCTTTTTGTCCTCCCCACCATTCTCCATTCCCTCATCCCCTCGATCCCACCATCTCAAACTTTCCTGTCCCCTCATCCTTCCCCACCATTTCCCCCCTCCCTTGTCCCCTCGTCATCCCCACCATCTCTAACTTCCGTCCCCTCTTCATCCCCACTATTCCCCACTCCCTCGTCCTATGCCTTCCTATATGGTCTGATGTTCCCATCAGAAAATTGGGAACACCAAGTTGATCTGATGTTCCCACATCTGAAATATAAGAAAAACAGTAAAAAATGAAATGAAAGTATGAAAAAATATAAAAATAAACTATTCTCACGAAACGAACAGTATTATAAACAACACAGCTCAATTCCAATGCCATTCACACATAATAATTAAATCAAAATGAAAATAAATCAAAATCTATGAAAATTTAATTTATCAATGCAATCAGAAACATTGAAGTGAATTGTAACATATTTAGTATAGCATGTGTTGCTCTTACATGCAACAGATGGCGCTGTTTTTCAAGAAAAGTTTAGTGTTACCTGTCACAGGTGTGACATTTATAAGTATACTTACGAAATGAATGGTATGGTAAACAACTCAGCTCAATTCCAACACAATGTCACACAAAACAATTCACGAAATATAAAATAAATAGAAATCTACGAAAATAAAATTTATCAATGCAATCGGAAACATTGAAATTAAATTCGTGACATACTTAGTATATAGTGCATGTTGCCATTATGTGTAACAGATGGCGCTGTTTTTCAAAAACGCATGTTTATACCTGTCACATGGGTGGCATCTATATAGTAGATATATAAAAAGACGCGCCTGTTTGAATGCAACGTTGTGTCAAAATTTCAAAGCAATTGGTGAAGAACTTTTGAAGATTACAGTGTGTGTTGCTCTTACATCCAACAGATGACACTGTTTTTCAAAAAAAGCATGTTTTTTTCCTGTCACAGGTGAGGCATGTATATAGAAGATACATAAAAAGATGCGCCTATTCGAATGCAACGCTATGTCAAAAATTCAAAGCAATTGGTAAAGAGGTTTCGAAGATTCCCCTCACATGAAAAACACAGTTTTTCAGAAAAAAGCATTTATTTACCGTCACACACGTGACATCTATATAGTATGTACATAAAAACCTGCTCGGAGGCGAATGGCACGTTGTGTGAAAATTTCTAAGCAATCGGTGAAAAACTTTCGGAGATTAGCGATTTTGAACATACGAACATTTCCACTATTTTATATATTTTTTCGGCTTTTTCGACTACCTAACCTAACCTAAGCTAACTTTTTTGGCTACCTAACCTAACCTAATCTATAGAGATAGGTTAGGTTAGGTTAGGTAGGGTTGGTTAGGTTCGGTCATATATCTACGTTAATTTTAACTCCAATAAAAAAAAATTGACTCATACATAATGAAATGAGTAGCTTTATCATTTCATAAGAAAAAAATTAGAGAAAATATATTAATTCAGTAAAACTTGGCTTATTAGGCAAATCGGGCCATGTATAGTTAGCTGAGAAGTGCGTTCTGGCTATTAGGTTCGACATATATATATATATATATATATATACATATATATATATATATATATATATATATATATATATGTCGTACCTAGTAGCCAGAACGCACTTCTCAGCCTACTATGCAAGGCCCAATTTGCCTAATAGGCCAAGTTTTCATGAATTAATTGTTTTTCGACTACCTAACCTACCTAACCTAACCTAACCTAACCTAACTTTTTCGGGTAACTAACCTAACCTAACCTATAAAGATAGGTTAGGTTAGGTTAGGTAGGGTTGGTTAGGTTCGGTCATATATCTACGTTAATTTTAACTCCAATAAAAAAAAATTGATCTCATACATAAGAAAATGGGTAGCTTTATCATTACATAAGAAAAAAAATAGAAAAGAATATATAATTCAGGAAAACTTGGCTTATTAGGCAAATCGGGCCTTGCATAGTAGGCTGAGAAGTGCGTTCTGGCTACTAGGTACGACATATATATATATATATATAATCATCAGCATAACAAATAATCGTGTCTTCATTAGTAGTTGGAAGATCTATGATAAGTTTATGCCTAAGAACGTTGAACAGCTAGAGGCTGAGGACCTCTCCTTGTGGAGTTCCCAGTTCAAACTGTTTACTCTCTGTGCTTTTAATACCATTGGACAAAACATATGATGTTCGATTAGACCCTTTATAAATATCAGTAGTTTTCCTGGTATTTCTAGCTCAGGAAGCTGTTCTAGTATGATTTCCTTGTTTGCAGTGTCAAAGGCCGATGCTGTGTGTATTCATCCTGCTAGTGGTGGCGGTGGGGGGTGGCCAGGGCAGCCCACACCTCCGGCAGAAACTGGCGGTGGGGGGTGGCCAGGGCAGCCCACACCTCCGGCAGAAACTGGCGGTGGAGGGTGACAAGGACAGCCCACACCTCCGAGAGAAAGTGGCGGTGGAGGGTGGCCAGGGCAGCCCAAAGCTGCAGCAAATGGTGGCGCCGGGGGATAACGTACACTTCCTTGGCGATATAAGCAAAGTGGTGCAGCAGAACCTGGATATCCTTGCCAAGATGACCCGCAATCTTACTTCATTAATGGAAGACAGACGACGTGAAAACTGTAGTCAAGGTAAGACTAACATATTATATGTCTGTGCTTTACGGAATAAACTAGTCTGGGTAACAGGTCAAAGCATAGAACAGTCCACTATCAGCGCCAGTACTCGCCTAGTGTAGCCAGTGGTATTGTAGGCCGGCTACCTCATGTCGGAGATGGTGAACATCTCAGGTGTCAACGTCAACAGTAACGATCGTAGATAATCTGATCAAGGGAACAATGCCTCACTGTTGGTTGGAGTTTACACACACACACACACACACACACACACACACACACACACACACACGGTTGAGAGGCGGGACCAAAGAGCCAGAGCTCAACCCCCGCAAACACAACTAGGTGAGTACAACTAGGTGAGTACACACACACACACACACAGGTGATGTATCTTCATAGCTGTGAGTCCTCATGCTGTAGGTGATGCAGACTGATACACTAAGCTCTAATATTTGCTTAACTACCAACACATCTTCCAGAAGTGGCCACAGTTACAGTTATTTACTTATTTATTTATTTGTTTATATATTAGAAGCTACATTGGGTTGAGAAAGTACATAACTCGTGGGTTTGAGTGGAACATTCTTGCAAAGCCATTAACACGCACAGCGTTTCCCGCAGCTCTTTAAGTTAACAAATGAGGGTAACATAATTTGAGTTCGACATTACAAATTGATAGAATAAACTATATTCATGAAGTTAAATGTCTTAAATGCTAAATAGGGTGAGTTTGAAGCACAAAGTAAGAAACTATGAGGATGGAATTACGTACTTTTTCGTTTTACTTTTGAATAAAGTATAGGTTGGACAATTTTGTAATTCATTAGGAAGTGAGTTCCATAGACTGAGTTCCTTTATTTGCATGAAGTGTTTACACAGATTTAGTTTGACTTTGGGGATCTCAAAGAGGTATTTATTTCGTGCGTGATGCCCATGAGTTATATAAACATCTATTAAGGAAAACAATCAGAACAGGATTAGCATATTATGAATGGATAGAAGGATTTTTATAATATGGACAGACGGAAGGATTAGCATATGGACCAACAGAAGGATTAGCATATTATGGACGGACGGAAGGATTAGCATATAATAGATGAACAGAAGGATTAGCATATTATAGATGGACAGAAGGATTAGCATATGGACAATCGGAAGGTTTAGTGTATTATGGACTGCACGAACACAGTTGCACCAAATAAACTTCATAGTCTGTCTAATGCAGTTGTGAAAGGTATAATAAAAACTGGAGTCTAGCTATAAACCTGAGGTAACAATAATGGGTAATCATGTAGCACGAGGGTCGTCGACTTCATGACTGTGAGTTCCACCGGGGCTGCCGAGCGGTTTGGACGTGTCGTTTGCCCGCTCCGGCAGTTTTGGGGTGGTTGCTGTTTTCGCCAGCAGGGGGTGTGGGTGTCTCTACCCTCCCTGCTGTTCCTGGTGGTGGTGTTTATGATGGGCTGCCCTATTCCGGCTGTCGTGCGGCTAAACTCCATAGGATTGGAGTTTACTTGCCGTGCCGGTTACCCGTTGGTGGATTTGAGTGACATGCTTCACGTCCTGTTACTGGATGTGTATGGTGTAGAGCTGGTAACTGCTCGCCGTGTCGTCATTAAGTTTGTGGGGGAGGCGGTGTACCGTGTGTTTCTCCGGAAGTACGAGGGACGTACTTTGCAGCTGCGGGTCGGCGCAAGGTCTGTGACTATTTCGGACCGTAGTGGAGCTATAACTTATGTCAGTGTACATGGCGCCCCCATGGAGTTTCCTGAGGATCTCCTGCGGCGATTCTTCCAGAGGTACGGCTCCGTCGTCAGTGTGCGGATGAACTCGCTATCGTCTGGCACATATTCCGGTGTGAAGACCAACATTCGGACCCTCGGGATGCGGCTGAGGTCGGACATTCCGTCCTCTATCCGGCTGTTGGGGTACTACATGCGGGTGTTTTATGCCCGGCAACCCCGCACTTGCTTCCGGTGTGGATTGTTGGGGCATCAGGCTGCCGGGTGTACTGCTGATCCGGTCACTCCTGTGAACTTGTTCCGTGAGGAGGATTTCCCGCCGCTCCCTCTGGAGGAGGACTCCGGGGGTGAGGAGGTGAGCGTCCCGTTCGCTGCTGAGGCTCCCCCAGCGTCACCCGACGTTCCCCCGGTTGTCGCAGACCCTCCTCCGGGTGTTGCGGTGCCGTCGGATGTTCCTCCTGACCATGTCTCTGGCCCTGCCGTTCCCGTGGACCTTCCTGGTGATCCCTGTGGAGCGTCGCCGTCTGCTTCCTCGTCTTCGGCTGTGGAACCTGGCCCTGCGTCCTCCCCTCGGGTCCCTCCTGTGCTGGGTGCTGGGGTGGCTGCGGAGCCTCCTACTGTGTGTGGTCCGGTTCCCCCTGTGGTAGAGGCTGCTGCCGTTCTGCGTCGGGCGTCGGTTCGTCCGGCTGGTGGTGCCCGTGTTTCTGGGTCTGCTTCCGGCTCTGACGATATTCGGCCGGAGCCCAAACATTCCAGGCGTTCGTCGTCCGCCTGGGCCGATGTTGGGGATTTTAGTGACTGTGGATCCTCGGATGTGGATGGTGTGGGTCCGAATGTGCAGTTGGCTCCACGGTTAGTGGAGGTGGAGGTCCATGTGCCTGCTGGTGACGGAGGCTGTGTCTTACGTGCGCCTTCTGCTCCTCCACCGGAGGGCTCTCCGCGGTGGGGGGGTGGTGGCTTCCGCTGGCAGGGATGGTGGGGATGCTGGTGCTGGGCGTGGCCTGGTGGTGACTTTGCGAAAGGATCCACGCCGATCGGATTCCCAGCTGTCTTCCGACGGTGTGCCCGTAGCTGCTGATGCCCCTGTGGTGGTGCCCTCTGTGCGGGTCTGTGCTCAGAGGATGTGCATTGGGCACCTGGGGGACGTGTTGCCGGAGTCTGCATTGCCGCAGTCACTGGAAGAGGATTGCTACGTTACCATTGTACGAGGAGCCGCGGAACTTTAGTGACGAGCCTGTCTTCGTGTGGGAGCGTGTGCCAATCACTCGCCTCCGGCGTAATACCATTTGGATCCCCTGTTTGCGGATATTTGTTGCCGGGGTTCTGGATGAGATGGCGTCCCCGGTGGATGGTCTCGACCCTTAGCGGTGGTTGCACTGGGAGGTGTTTCATGTCCGGTTCCCTAGGAGTTTATTTCCGAACAAGTATATCTCCTGATTTCCTGATTTCTGTGTTTCCTCTTGTCCTGTGTGCCCTTATGGCTGCTTGTTTGCCCTTGTGTTGTTTGTGCCTGTGCCTTCCCCTTTTTTTGGGGCGTAGCAGGTAGTTTGGTGTGAGTTTTTCTTCGTGTATTCATTTATTGTGTTATTTCTTTGCCCTATGTGTTATATTCGTGCTTAAAGTGTTGTGTTTGTTTGTTATATATTGTGATTTTTTGTGTATTTACATGTTGTTCATAATGCTGTGCGTTGTTGTCGGTCCTTCCGGTCGGTGTGATTGTCTTGTTTTGTTTTTTCTTGCTAAATGCTTTATAATGTTACTATATTTTATTGTTTTCTTTGCCGTGCTTGCCTGTTTGTACATTATTTACTGTTTTGTCTTGATGTGTGTATCTCATGCCTCTATTGTTACCTTCTCCGGTTTTGTTAATTGTTGTGCTGGGCTGTCGGTCCTTCTGGCCGGCGGTTTTTTGTTTGTTGTGTACTGTTTCATTTATTGTTTTATTGTATTTATTGTTTTTCCCTTGCATGCTTGCATGTAAAAAAAAAAAAAAAAAAAAAAAAAAGTATGACATAGTGATGAAGAGCGCCAGAGGGACCACCGCTGCCTTGACCACTCTTGAAGCCTCTCTACGCAGCCTCGGCGGCCACATCACCAACAACACCTGCGATCACAACACTTGCTCAGGGTAAACTGTCTTACCATGCCACTTTCTCCAGGGAACTCTACTGTAGCTACAGCTGATTCACTGTATAGTACTTGTGGGGAAATTGACTCGTGAAATTTTATTATTTATTTTAATTAGAGTATTAATTTATTTATTTTAATTACAGTATTAATTTATTTATTTTAATTACAAATATTAGTTGTTTTAATTACAATATTAATTTATTTCAATTACAAGTATTAATTTATTTATTTGTTTATTTATAATTTAAATATAATTAATTTATTTGATTATTTATTATTTATGTTAATTTATTTATTTCGATAGCAGACTGTATGAACTAAAGTGTACTGTATGAGATTAAAGGGGACTGAATGTTTAATTTTCTCACAAGTAGCTTTCTACACAAGTTAGGGATATTATTAATTATATAGCCTATCAATCGAAAATATCGATTGGTAGAAATTCAATACTAAGTTGTTAATAGATGTTAGACTACAATGATTAGTCAATTTATTTAAAGCTTTATACGACTAGAAGATTTCAACAATCAGGTATCGGTGTAGAACACGTGAGTAGCTAGCCAAACTCGGGTCTCGTGCTCATGGTATCATTTGTGCAGGATGGGACAAGGTCGGTCACGTGATCTCCTATGAGTGACGCCACATTAGTAACTTCACGTCTCATTTTAGCTGCCAACGAGTTTGCACCGTAAACTTTGTTAGACATAAATTTTTCATTCATGTATGTAATAATATTCTGAAATGAAAAGATTATTGCTCACCCTTTTGTTCATGCAGCATAACCATAATCAATATATTACATAATAAGTAAGAGTTATAACATATTATGAATACTGTATGGATACAATGCCTTCGCTGGATACGATGGTGTCGATTTGTTCTGTCCAACTCCGTGAGTATAACCTGCAGAGGTTATACTCACGGAGTTGGACAGAACAAAAATTGTGTCTCCGTGGTGTAGTGGTAAGACACTCGCCTGGCGTTCCGCGAGCGCTATGTCATGGGTTCGTATCCTGGCCGGGGAGGATTTACTGGGCGCAATTCCTTAACTGTAGCCTCTGTTTAACGCAACAGTAAAATGTGTACTTGGATGAAAAAACGATTCTTCGCGGCAGGGATCGTATTCCAGGGACCTGCCCGAAACGCTACGCGTACTAGTGGCTGTACAAGAATGTAACAACTCTTGTATATATCTCAAAAAAACAAAAAAAAACAAATCGACTCAAGAGGTCAACACGACACCTTTACCAGTCCGGGTTGAAATATGGCTACCGCTTCTCTCCCTCCCCCATTGAGTGTTTTCTCCATATGTGTTTTATCAAGAAGTGGAAAGAGGGTTTATATTTAATTTGTTTTAGTACTGGATAATTAAGTTCTTTCCAGGAAAATATTTTTATGATGTTCACAGTCCAGAGACTGATGTTTTAAGAAGAATTCACTAATTATTAGCTAGTGATTTTAATGTTAGAGATGTGGCAATGATATCCAGTTAATCTCTGGGAAAATTCCACAAATCTAATTTTCACAAATCCACAAATCTATTGATATCAAATTCCACAAATCTATTGATATCAAATACATTTCTTAACATATTGGGATGAAATTTTTACGACGATGTTGCCAAATAATTGGAGAGTTGTATAACATTTTCAATTAATTTTCATTAAATTCGAAAATTGTTTGAATTCTTGGCCCCTTAAGCTAAATCATTGCTTTGTTTTCAGGGTCGAGTGGCAGTGTGGGTCTGGGGAGTGTATCTCGCGGGAGACTTACTGTGATGGCCTCGTAAACTGCCTTGACAAGTCAGACGAGCACTCCAACTGCACGGTGAGTGCGACCAGACCCTTATCTGCACCAGTCCTTTTTTTGTGGATTTGGGGTCTGAAATATGGTGTGAAATTCATGTATATTTCATGGTGAGATCACAGGACCATAGATTTTAATAGAAAATTTCACATTCCAATAGACTGTAATGGAGTATTTATGTCATAGACTTTCACAGAGGCCTCATAGGTCGTAGAGTTTCAAAGGCTTGGTAGTCTGCAGATTTTCACAAGAATTTCATTGCCCATAGATTTTAATGGATATTTTAGGCCATAGACTAAAAAACTATACTTGTAAAACACATAGACTCACACTTCTGCAATGGGCTTAATGATGGTAGGTAGCGATGCTGGTGGTGGTAGGTGGATGTAAAGGTTAATGAGTGCGTACGCTCTAATATCTCGCTAAGATAAAGGTTACCATGAAAGTGTGTACGGTGTAACATCTCGCTAACGTAATGGTTAACATGTAATTGTGTACGCTCTAATATCTCACTAAGGTAAAGGTTAACATGTAAGTGTTAACTAACTTCTGTAATACCTAAAATACATTTTTACCCCCTTAGTGATTTGACACTTGTGCCGATGCCTCAGGCACCACTTTAACATGTCTCTCAGTATTTGACACTTGAGCCGACGCCTCAGGCACCAACCTAACATGTCTCTCAACCGACTCATTGTGACACGGATGATTGACCTGTAAGGGTTTCATTCGGCATTGTTCTACATCGAATGCCGAATGTCTAGGGCTGTTGGATTTAACAGGGCTGACATGGATTTAAATCGACCAGGTTACGGTAACATTTTGTTGTCAGGGATAATGGCGGTTGATGGCATCACCGGGAATGAATGTTTCCTCGTCGCCGCCGTCAACAAATTCACCTTTAAAATTTCCATGTGGGATTTTAAATTATGAAAACTTTCTTCATATTCAAAACACTATTTTTACAACCAACGTTCGTATTTCTTCATCGTTGTTCTTAATCATTGCAACCAAGACATTTTCTGGGTATTCAAAAAATGCCTTTTGATGCACTACTCTCAAGGCTGTTTTCTCGCAAAACCTTTTTTGACAACCAAGTAATTCCTAGAATCATGTTGAAAAAGTGTCAATCCTCAAGTTAACTGGCTGCATGATTTAATTTCAATCTAAGTTGGGAAATACACTGGAAGATAGAATGGCATAAGAGACTCCAAGTTTGATGGTATGACACATTGAATGGAAGGATTCCCCAGCCTGGGGTTAACCACTGTGAACGTGCACTAGCACCAACCTCCAGATATTGCAGATCACTGTCGACTGATCCCAAAACAACTGCCAGACATATTGTGTAGGTATAGTACAGGTCATCAACAGCAGACTGTGGCAACCCTGGAAAATGGGAATTGATACTTGCCTGAATTGAGAAGCCGACTAATTTTTTATATATATATATATACAAGAGTTCTTACATTCTTGTACAGCCACTAGCACACATAGAGTTTCGGGCAAGTCCCTAAGCCTAATGTTCCCCGAAATACGACCCGGCAAACCGTTTAACAACCAGGTACCCCTTCACTACTGGGTGAACAGAGGCAATGGTACCTAGTTAAGGAATGGTACCTAGTAAATCCTGCAAGGCCAGGATACGAACCCTGGCCAAAGTGCTCGCGAAATGCCAGGGAAGTGTGTTACCACTTCGCCACGGGGACTGCTAATATCTCACTAATTTGACACATCTTCACTCAAACCTCTCTCAATAAGTTTTGTGAATGAATCGTGAGTATTTATGGTTCTACCATAAGTCACAAAATCATAACACAATGGAAGATCGTTGTTACGTGTCACTGAGTGGCTTACATACTTAACTCTTCTAAGATGCATCCATTGTACTTGCCAATCATGCACACAGTACCGTCAAGCTTATTGTGTAACTCAGTGCACTTCAAGGAATTAAACAGCTCTTGTGCGCTAGTTCTGCTTTGACTGTCATTAGGAGAAAAATGATTTAAGCAAGGAGAAAAATGATTTAAGCAAGGAGAAAAATGATTTAAGCAATATTCACTTGGCTCCTCAACTACAGTAGAGTCTATTCAAGGTGCACTGATTTATATGGTTTCCATTTGGTCCTTGCAAAACAGTGTGTTGTATCCTAGCACCCGTCAAAGTAAAGCGACCCCACGGACTTGAAGTTCTCCTGCTCTTCTCTCTGACTTTCTTTAAACACTGTTCCTGCTCTCTTCATAGCTTACCACGATCGATGACATGACTGTTATCGTGATTAGTTATGAGACCAACATCTTGCAACACATTGCTGGAGTTTGCTTCTGCTGCCCGGTCTAATATCTGGTAATATCGCTCACACATCCTGGCAAGGTCAGTACTCTTCCTGCGACGCTGTTCACAAAGTTACGTCGAGTCCGGAACATACAAACAGCACATTGTGATGTGCTTATGGATGTTGACCAGCATCAGAGGCAGCCAGAAGCCGACGAGGACTTTCCTTCATTTCTCACAGGAATATGTTGGCGTTCTTTATGGAGTAAATGAACGTCGCATGAACAGTTTGTGACGTGAATTCTGTGAAACAATAGAATTTACAAATTTTCCAATACGTGGACCCTTTCGATCATTGTCAAAGGAAAAGTCATCAGCTGTTATCCATAAACTGTGCTGTTTCTCCTGACGTCGCCCCTGTTCATCAACACAAAAACCCTCAGTAAATGAGTTCCATTTGACGTGGGTTCAGATTCCTTTACCATGAAAGACTGAGGTTTTCTTTGACAAGTGGTCAAGTGCACTATAAGATGCAACCAATTCATTCACTTTTTGTATGCAGTGTATTGTATGCTGTAGACATTGACATTGTATACAAGAGGGTAAACAGTCCAACACATTCATGTCATAAACCTCCTTGGTTTATGACAGGTTTATGAAAGACAGCATCTTTTGCAGCATCCACCTCCAGAAGGATCTTGAAATGATGAGTTCTCTCTATTGTTGCATTGTTGGCAACACTGCAGGGGAGAGTTTTCACGACTATTAAAGGTATTACCACTGTGCAAAATTTTCATTTTGCACAGCTGCCACACCTTAAGTTGTAATCTTATTCGGTTATTTTTATTATTTATTTGAAATCTTATATAGTTGTAATCATATTTACTTGCAATCTTATTACATACCTCAGTTGTAATCTTATTTGGTAATGTGCCTCTGTACTGTGTTAGATATGTTCCAGTGGTTAGTTTGTCATTTCCTTCTCTCTTTTGGAACCTGTAAGTCTATTTCCCCATGACCATGGATATACAAGCCTGATGCAAGGCAAGTGTGCCTATGTTCTTCTATTGTCTCCTTTTATGAAAATAAGTGATTCATATTTGGTGGAATTCTTGTACCACTACCATCTCGCAGATCCTGATGTTGCAACGACTTTCTTATGGTAACAATACATCTTCGCATTGCTTTAGTTCTACTTATTTTCATAAAATGCACGGCACTCTGTGGTATGTAAATATCTGCATTTCTCCTTTAGTTGGAGCTAAAATTTTGAAACTTCATCTGCCATGTCATTCCATTGTATTCCTACATGACTTAACACCCAGTTAATTTTACAACCTCGATGTCTTAATGTTTTCTAAATTTAACTAACAATTTTAATTATTCCATATAACGTTGGATGTGTTTTGTCTGATAAGTTTTAATGTCCTAAATTAAAAAAAACTCCTAAGTCAAAACAAATCTTAATCTACCAACAGAAGATGTGCACTGAGGAGGAGTTCAAGTGTGTATCTGACAGTGAGTGTATCGAGTCATCATGGAAGTGTGACTTTGACAAGGACTGTGATGATGGCAGTGATGAGCTCAACTGTCCGGTGAGTCTCACATCATGGGTCAAGGTTTTCCTTCATGAATATTATTGCCACTCGGACAAGGTCTGTGATGATGACAGTGATGAGGTCAACTGTCCTGCAAGTCTCACATCTCATGTCAAGGTTTACTTCCATAAATATATTTATATATATATAGAGAGAAAACTTTACTTACAGCAAGAGAAGGAGTGACGGTGACAAGTTAGTGTGTCATTTAAAAATCAAGGAGACTTGACCGTCATTGTCAAAATATGGAGTTAAGGTTGCTCTGAGCTTACCTTGAATTGGTTCAAAAGAGCAAAGTCCTCACGGCCTAGTCTCTGAACAAGCCTCCTAGTTGGTGTCCTGGTCAACAAGACTGTTAAATGCAGCTGTTGGGAGCATGATGCGTGAATCACAGCCTAGTTGTTCAGGGTATCCTTTAGGGGGTGTTTATCAAATTCTCTTTTAGACACCACGAATATCAGCTATTTATTTCCTTTATGTTTATAGGAAGTGTTCAAAAGTATTTGGCCTTTGATATTTATGGTGTTCTCTCTCAGCATACCAATTGCACATCTCTCTTTCAACTAGGGTATTTTGTATTTCTTACCATGCCGTCTCGTATTTTGTGGTGTTATTTTGAACGCATTTTGACTAAATATTTTCTTAGTAGAAATTATTATATTTTGAATCCACATAACTTGTGGATTTGTCCCCACCTGTGCTCTATGGGAATACAGATTTAAAAATTGTAAGCAGGCGTAGTAATTTTGGTGTTTTATTAAGTGGATTCTAGCAGTAAAAGATCTTTGCACGTTCTAGGTTAGCAATTTCTCCAGCATAGATTGGGGCTATTATTGTGCAATAGTATTCCACCCTAGACAGCACTAATCTCTTGAAGAGTATTATCAATGGTATGGCATCTCCCGTTTGAAAGATTCATGTTAACCAACCTGCCATTTTTTCAGTGGTGACAGAAACTTTATTCTGTTTATTAAAGTAAGATCTTCGAGCATGGTTACTCCCAGAACTATTATATTGTTTTTTCTATCTATAGTGTGATTGCGTTTTATGTGTGGGTTTCTGTAATTATATTTTCGTTTTTCCCATACTGCAGGAGCTGGAACTTATCTTCGCTAAACATAATATTATTTTTTGCTGTGGCCCATTGAAGAACTTGATTTACAACAGAGGTTTGCTGTGTCCTCTATGTTATCTACTCTCATGAAAATCCTGTCCATGTCTATGTCCGATATGTGGATGAGAAATGGTACTTGAGCAGCACAATACCATGTTGGACTTAGTTTTTCATGGTGGAGGATCTGAATTTTGCTTTGTTGACTGTTAAACACTTGGTTCTCTTCCTTAAGGTAAATTAATAATCCTTCTTCCCTCTCTTCCAGTAATTCTTTTTGAGAGCATTTTGTGTACTATGAGACCATGGTCACACTTGTCGAAATATTTCGCAAAATGTGGATATTACATCAACATTTTCCTTGTCTTGTCCGTCCTCAATGTTTTGTTTCTGCTTTATTTACTCATTTGGAATGGTGGTATCGCCACTGTTTTAAGTATTTTGGGGATAATACCAGTATCTAAGCTCAGTCTCCAAGTAATGTTAAGCGCCTGTGACAGTGATTTTTAAAAATTCTTCATAAGTATGGAATTCCATGAAACAGGGCCTGGTGTAGAGTGCATCTTGAGGTGATTTCGGGGCTTTTTTTAGTGTCCACGCGGCCCGGTCCTCGACCAGGCCTCCACCCCCAGGAAGCAGCCCGTGACAGCTGACTAACACCCAGGTACCTATTTTACTGCTAGGTAACAGGGGCATAGGGTGAAAGAAACTCTGCCCATTGTTTCTCGCCGGCGCCCGGGATCGAACCCGGGACCACAGGATCACAAGTCCAGTGTGCTGTCCGCTCGGCCGACCAGCTCCCATAGGCATACTGTCTGTGAGAGTTTGAAAGTGGAATAATGAAATGGTTGCGGAATTGAGCTCGGATTTTTTTTTTAAATTTTCTTTAATTCTTTTAACCTTTATTCCTGTCGTGATATTCAATTAGGTCGCCTGAGGAAGGACTTGCTTAGCTAACACATCAGTGTAGTAAGCAGCTCATTCCTCACTCTGGGACCGTTTGTGAACAATTGACTAGGCTCGAGCAAATGCCGAGACCCCAAAAAGTTGAAATTCCCTCCACTATAGGCCGTTGACCTTCGCCATTCGCCGAAGCGAATCTAGCGAGTAGGTCCTGGGCTCTCACAACAATATTTTATTGTTGTGTGATGCCATATATTTAGTCCAAACCCCACGAATCAGTCTCAATTTAATAGTCGAGTGTGAAGAATCACTTGCATAACAATTATACTGTGTGGGGTGTAACGAAAAGACAGTGTTCAACATAACAACTTAGTTTATTCAATAAAGTACTAACTATTTGAACCACTTAGCCGCCGTCCGAGTGCAGCGGGGACGTGATGGTCAAGCGGATTAAGGCGTCCTGTAGATACCAGTTGCGTTGCTCCTGGCAGTATGGGTTCGAGTCACTTCTGGGGTGTGAGTTTTCAGTCATATATATATATATATATATATATATATATATATATATATATATATATATATATATATATATATATATATATATATATGTATATATGTTGTACCTAGTAGCCAGAACGTCGTACTTGGCCTACTATTCAAGGCCCGATTTGCCTAATATGTCAAGTTTTCCTGAATTTATATAATTTTCAAATTTTCTTTCTTATGAAATGATAAATCTGTCCATATCATTATGTCTAAGTTAATTTGTTTCAATTTGAGTTAAATCTAACGTAGATATATGAACTAACCTAACCAACCCTACCTAACCTAACCTAACCTCTCTTAGCCTAACCTAAACTAACAAAAGTAAGTCAATAAATTATGATCCTAATATAAAATAATAATAATAATTCAAATAAACTATTTGGAAAAAATTTATTGAAAAAAAAGAAAATCCCTCGGCCTATTAGGCAAATCTGGCCTTGCATAGTAGGCCAAGAGCTGCGGTCTGGCTACTAGGTACGACATATATATATATATATCTATATATATATATATATATATATATATATATATATATATATATATATATATATATGTCGTACCTAGTAGCCAAAACGCACTTCTCAGCCTACTATGCAAGGCCCGATTTGCCTAATAAGCCAAGTTTTCATGAATTAATTGTTTTTCGACTACCTAACCTACCTAACCTAACCTAACCTAACTTTTTCGGCTACCTAACCAAACCTAACCTATAAAGATAGGTTAGGTTAGGTTAGGTAGGGTTGGTTAGGTTCGGTCATATATCTACGTTAATTTTAACTCCAATAAAAAAAAATTGACCTCATACATAATGAAATGGGTAGCTTTATCATTTCATAAGAAAAAAATTAGAAAAAATATATTAATTCAGGAAAACTTGGCTTATTAGGCAAATCGGGCCATGCATAGTAGGCCAAAAAGTGAGTTCTGGCTACTAGGTACGACATATATATATATATATATATATATATATATATGTCGTACCTAGTAGCCAGAACTCACTTCTCAGCTTACTATGCAAGGCCCGATCTGCCTAATAAGCCAAGTTTTACTGAATTAATATATTTTTTAAATTTTTTTTCTTATGATATGATAAAGCTACCCATTTCATTATGTATGAGGTCATTTTTTTTTATTGGAGTTAAAATTAACGTAGATATATGATAGAACCTAACCAACCCTACCTAACCTAACCTAACCTATCTTTATAGGTTAGGTTAGGTTAGGTAGCCGAAAACGTTAGGTTAGGTTAGGTTAGGTAGGTTAGGTAGTCGAAAAAACATTAATTCATGAAAACTAGGCTTATTAGGCAAATCGGGCCTTGCATAGTAGGCTGAGAAGTGAGTTCTGGCTACTAGGTACGACATATATATATATATATATATATATATATATATATATATATATATATATATATATATACATACATACATACATATATATATATATATATATATATATATATATATATATATATATATATATATATATATATATATATATATATATATATATATATATATATATATATATATATATATATATATATATATATATATATATATATATATATATATATATATATATATATATATATATATAAATGTCGTACCTAGTAGCCAGAACTCACTTCTCAGCCTACTATTCAAGGCCCGATTTGCCTAATAAGCCAAGTTTTCCTGAATTAATATATTTACTATAATTTTTTTCTTATGAAATGATAAAGCTACCCGTTTCACTATGTATGAGGTCAATTTTTTTTTATTGGAGTTAAAATTAACCTAGATATATGACCGAACCTAACCAACCCTACCTAACCTAACCTAACCTATATATATAGGTAAGGTTAGGTTAGGTAGCCAAAAAAAGCTAGGTTAGGTTAGGTTAGGTAGGTTAGGTAGACGAAAAAACATTAATTCATGAAAACTTGGCTTATTAGGCAAATCGGGCCTTGCATAGTAGGCTAAGAAGTGAGTTCTGGCTACTAGGTACGACATAAATATATATATATATATAAATATATATATATATATATATATATATATATATATATATATATATATATATATATATATATATATATATATATATATATATATATATATATATATATATATATATATATATATATATATATATATATATGTCGTACCTAGTAGCCAGAACTCACTTCTCAGCCTAATATGCAAGGCCCGATTTGCCTAATAAGCCAAGTTTTCATGAATTAATATATTTTCTCAATTTTTTTTCTTATGAAATGATAAAGCTACCCATTTCATTATGTAGGAGTTAAATTTTTTTTTATTGTAGTTAAAATTAACGTAGATATATGACCGAACCTAACCATCCCTACCTAACCTAACCTAACCTATCTTTATAGGTTAGGTTAGGTTAGGTAACCGAAAAAGTTAGGTTAGGTTAGGTTAGGTAGGTTAGGTAG